TATACTGTGTGCTTTATAGTCTGTCAACTTTACAAAGTGGCACACATTACTCCAATGCTTGCTACATGTATCACATCTCTCTGTCTATGGCTCATATGTATAATATATATTACCCTTTTCATTTTATAGAAGGTCAGGATAGATGGCACCTATCTTTAAATCTATCTTTAGATAGTCTCAATATTCTATATGGAGCATGCTAGTATACAAATAGCACTGACCCTAAAGAAAACTTTAATGGGTTCTAATCCTTCCTTTCCGGCATTAGGTCAATGATTAGCTTCCTGATTATGCCAAGAGGACTCCTCTGTCTTTCCACTTACTGGATGATGCTGATGTGGATGATGTAGTGCATGCCCTGTCTTGGCTATGGGCATAGCTCACTTTTTAGCACTTTTGCATTCCGACATCTAATACACTACCTTTTACAAACTAAATTACATATTGCTTGATAGAAAAAAAAATTGAGAAAATTAAGTTGCAGAGAAACTGAGTGACTTTATCAAGCTCAGTAACTAGAAGTCAGGTTCTCTTCTCTGTATGCATTGCTCTGTGTGAGTTTTTGGTATATTGCCCATCAAAGTATTATCATTATCTGACATCTAAAGCCATGTTTTATTTTTGCGGATGTAATTCTTTCTATTCTTTTTTCTTCATTTGTTTATTTTGTGATCCAAATGGCTTCTAGTAGGTATTAGTTATCTGAGTCGGACCATTCTCTTGCTAATACTCTTAATTTTCCAAGATGTCAGTCAGATAACAACTTAAACCCATGTATTGGCATAACCATAGTATTTGAATATCATGTTTAGATCCTGGTTTAAAGAGATAGATACCTCAGCACATTTCATAGATCGTTAGCTTTTAGTGATCACAACTTAGGCTGGTCCTATTTTTAACTCAGGCTGGAGTAACATGGCTTTCATCTTAATAAGTTTATTGGGGCTCGTGTCCAGTTAACAAGAGCATGGATCTTTAGAGAAATTTAACAGTAAATCAGTGTGCTGGAGGTATCATTTATTCTTAATTACAAAGGCATCCCAGCTATTATGTCAAATTTCTTATATTTCCTCAGTTTTAATAACGAAGTTCCCTGGTTTGTGCAACTTTCTGAATTCTTAAAGCTGAGATTATTGTTAATTCCCATCACAGTGATAGGTCTCAAAAGTAATAGTTGACAAAACCTTCCAAAAGATTGTATTTTCCTCAAAACTACCCTACCTTTGTGACGTAAAGCTGAGAAAAGAATCACAGATTGGTAATTGTTCATTGGAACAAGAGCTTATTACATTTATACTTTTATACATATATTAACCTCTTTATTTTTGCTTCATATTTATTTTTAATATAATATACAATAAAATTCAGTCTTTTTTTGTAAACAGTTCTGAGTTTTGATAGAATATAGATTGTTTAAACACCATCACAATCAAGGTACAGAACAATTCATCACTCCAAAACCGTTTCCATGTGGTCTCTCTTTAGTCACCTTTAACCTCTACCCTCAACCCCTGGCAATCACAGACCTGCTCTTTATGCCTATACTTATGCCTTTTCTAACAGGTCATCCAAATGGAATTAAGTCTAGCTTTTTCCACATGGCATAATGCATTTTAGATTTATCCATTTTGTTGTGTATATTGATAGTTCATTCTTTTTTATTGGGCACTAATATATCATTCGTTGTGCAACACACCATTCTATGGTTGTAGCAGAGTTCACTTATCCATTAACTGTTTGTACATTTAGTTTGCTTCCAGTTTTTGGTGATTTTAAATAAAGCCACCTATAAATATTCACTTAGAGGTTTTCCTGGAACATTAGTTCATTTCTCTTGGTCAAATACTTAGCAGTAGGATTTCTGGATCAAATGTTTAACTTTATCAGAAACTGCCAAAGTATATTCCAAAGTGACTGTATCATTTTCAATTCCCACTGCCATATTTTAATAGAAAATAAATGTTACCCATTTAAGTACTGTGTTACTTATAGAAAAGTAAATAATCATGAAACACACTGATCATTCTGTTTCTTGTGCTCATAGATGATTTCAAATTCAGGCAGAGAATTTGAAGTTTGATCTGATATGCAAAAGGTTATTTTTAAAGGTGCATCTTTTTTTTTTTTTAACTAATGAAAAAGAACTTTGTAGATCATAGCAAGGTTATATATACTTTGCCACTTGTGTGCTCCTTCTCATTTTTATCCTACCTTGTGAATGGGTCCTTCAGAAGTTACCTTGTTGCTAGAGTGGAAAAGAAAAGTTTCATGAACTGTTTGGAGGGAAAAATGAAACAGTAGTAGAAATACTTTTATTGAATGTCTACTAAGTGCTGGGTACTTTCTGGATGCCGGGGACCCAGTACAGAGTATAACAGAACAAATAAAAGCAAACAACAAAAACACCTTCTTTCAAGGTGTATTACTAAAATAAGTGCTAAGGAAAACCTACAGAGCATGAGAAGAAGAAATACAGTTTTGGTGAAGCCAGAGCCATTAAGTTATATGCTTTAATTTTAGTGGGTTGAAGCATGGCTTGTTTTTGTTTAAACTTTATTTTGAAATAATTTTTTGATTTGGCGAAGTTGCAAAGATAGTACAGAATTCCAGTGTATCTATCTCTTACCAAAACTTTCCCTGATATTAACGTTTCTCATTTCCAATGTATATTTGTTAAAAGAAACCGACATTGATACCTACTGTTCACTCCAGATTTTAGTTGGAAATCACTCGTTTGCCCACTGATGTCATTTTTCTGTTCCAGGATCCAGTTCAAGGTACCACATTACACTTAGTCATATTTCCTTCCTCCCCTCCGGTCTAACAATTACTCAGTATTTCCTTGTTTGTTTTATGAGCTTGAGATTTTTGAAGAGTAACTATTTGCTATGGTGTAGAATGTCCCTAAGGTGTCTGCTGTCTTTCTTATGATGAGATGGGTTATGGGTTTTGGGGGGAAATACAGCAGAAATGGAGTACCCTTCTCATCACAGTATATCAGGAGGTACATGCTATCAATGTGATTTTTCACTGGTGATGGTAACCTTGATCATTTGGCTAAGGATGCTGTTTGCCAAAGTTCTCTATTGTAATATTACTGTTTCCCCCTTTCCATGTTCTGTTCTTTGGAAGTGAGTCATTGAGTCTAGTCTATATGCAGAGAGAACAGGGTAAGCTCTACTTTTTGGAGGGTGGACAAATGTATGTGTGTGTGTGTGTGTGTGTGTGTGTGTGCGTGCGCATCGGAATTTTTCTATAAGGAAGGTTTGTCTTATTATTTTATTTCATTTATTTATGCATTTATTTGTGTTAGAGTGGTCTTATGTGTATTTATTTTATACTTTGGCTTATAATCAAATATTAATCTGTTGCTCTGTTTTTACATCTTTGGCCTTTGGGATCTCTTATACGTTGGCTCCATTTCCTTTTGACATACCACCAACCTTTTGTTTCTTTCAGCACTTGTTTGCTTGCTGGTACTACAAGATCCATCAGGTTTATCTTGTGTATTCTTTGTCCCAGCCTTCTTTAAGAAGTCCCTAGTTCTTTTTTATTGGAGAATGGTATTTGGAAACCAGGATTTGGGTGCTGAGTGTACTCATTGCTAATGGGCTGTCAGCCAGTCCATGTTTATTTTGTTAAAATATTTTTAAAGTCTGAATTTGAAAATTATACCAAAGAGGTAGCAGGTCAGAAATAAAACATACCCTGACTTAGGAAACTATAAACTGAAAAAATTTTATGGCTATATTAAGTCCAGCTTTTGGAAAGAGATGCATTCCAATAAAAGTGCATATTAAGTTGTTTTATTTTGTTTAAATAATATATGCTATTAGAAGTATTTAAAATATGCAATGAAGATAAGATAGTTTCTATTATTAAAGTTCATTTTTGTTTTAAGCTTACCTTAATATAAGCATTCTTATCACTGAGTGGGAACAAGTGATTTGTTTCTTTTCTTTTAATTGGGTAGGATCTTTACATCTTTGTTCATGTGAATTGTAGACAGAAACTGGGAATTCTCCTGTTAGGTTTCTCCTCAGAAAAATTGAGATCAGTTTTAATCCAATCGCTTATTAATGAATTTCTTTTCAAAAGTGAGATTTTTTATATTTGGGTGTTAGTTTTAGACATTTTCTGCTTTGGATGTTTTAAGCTACAGAGATTAAATACAATTGACCCTTGAACAATACAGAGTTAGGGACAACTGCCTACCACACAGTTGAAGGTCTGTGTAAACCTTTAAAAACTTCACTGCTAATAACTTAGGTTGACCAGTAGCCTTACTAGTGACATAAACAGTCAATTAACAGAGATTTTTGTATGCTATATGTATCATATACTGTATTCTTACAGTAAAGTAAGCTAGAGAGGGCAGCCCCCGTGGCTCAGAGGTTTAGCGCCACCTTCAGCCCAGGGCATGATCCTGGAGACCCGGATGGAGTCCCATGTCAGGCTCCCTGCATGGAGCCTGCTTCTCCCTCTGCCTGTCTCTCTCTCTCTCTGTCTCTAATAAATAAATAAAATCTTAAAAAAAAGATAAAGTAAGCTAGAGAAAAGAAAATATTAAGAAAATCATAAGGGAGAGAAAATATATTTGCAGTACTACATTGTATCTAAAAAAAAGTGTGTAAGTGGACTTATGTATTTCAAACTTACACTTGTAGTATTTAAAAAAAAGTTTGTATAAGTGGACTTATGTATTTCAGACTTACACTGTTGAAGAGTCAACTGTAAATTGTTTTGGCAAACCAAAATGTTTGTATGTATTTGTATGTTTGTATGTATTTGTATGTTTGTATGTATTATTTTTGGTCATCCTATTGGGGCAAATTTTAAAAGTTGAATTAAACTTTAAATTGGGAGTTTAGATTAATTTGAAAAATCTTTAATAGCTTTTTTAGAAAGTTTAAAAATGGATAAGGATATAATTGTTCTGAAGAATGGAATAGTCTATTGCTTTAATTCTGTATTTTTATTTTTGTTTTTTCCCTTTGCAGAGAATGTAGCTGGTCACTACATTTCCCCCTTTCATGATATTCCTCTGAAGGTGGACTCAACAGAGGTACTGTCTTAACTTGTTTTGGGGGTGAAAATATATAATTCTAATATCACAAAATGCTTTTTGGAAGCATCTTGAAACGAAGGAATGTGGTTGGAAGTCAAGAAGGACAACAGTTATAATAGGATAATAAGTCTCCTTCATGAATTAGAATTAGTATGGGAATAGGATCCTTACAGGAGGAAGATATGGAACTCTGATGTAGGATTTGTGCTGCCTTCCAGCCCTTCAAAGGACTGGACTGTCAATATGATGGCAATAGAATAATAGTGAAGATTTATTAAATGCTCATGGTGGGCTTATCCAAACAGTGTACTGAGAGCTTGACTTGCATTTTCTGAGTATGGCTAGGGCTACAGTTATAACCCTTATTTTGTTAATGAGGTTCAGTACTTTGCCCATGGTCACAAATCTGTTGTCTGTTGTGGGAGGTAGAATATGAATTTAGGTGGTGCTCTAACTCCAAAGGTGGTATTCTTAATTGCTCTTCTGTAATCCTTCCAGCTCATTACTTCTAGGTAGTAGTCAACTACAGGACAGGAAGTCATATAATCTGGAGAGAGAAGGAAGCCAAAGATAGGGCAGAAAGAACTCCATTTTTCTCTCTCTCTCTCTCGTGTGTGTGTGTGTGTGTGTGTGTGTGTGTGTGTCTGTCTGTCCCCGTGTGTTTTATTTTGGCCAAAGAACAGTCCAACCCAAATATCTCATATCTTCCAACACCTCTCCTTGCTTTTGGCCAAAAGCTCATGCATTAATTTATTCATTTATTCTTTCAGTAAACAGTCATTGCAGCATTAGGAGCTAGACAGCATTCCAGGTACTAGGGTTGCAGTGGTGAATAAGAGAGTCATAGATCTAGTTTGTACTTGATTGGAGGAAACAGACAACCAGAAAACAAGTGGATCAGTAATGTGAAGTGCTATAAAACTGGCATAGGGTAATGAAAGAAGGAGGAACTGGTCAGCTGCTTCATGTGGGGGTGTACCATGACAAAATCTGTTTACTTAACAAAATAATATTTTTGGGAATCCTCTAGTAGGTAGATGGGGAGCTGAAACAAAGAGTGGACTAGAAATATCCCAGTGGGCATGATATTCTGCCTTAGGAGAGTAGGTTTTGGGGAATATGAAATTGGGGTTAGTCAGAGTTGAGAATAGGGCAGGGCAAAATAGAACAGGATATGCCAGTGAATTCTGGACATGTGGAGATCGGTACGCACGGTGGTTGTGTGACTAGGTTTCCTCCATCCTCAACCATGATGGTTAGAACTCTTGCATGTTGTACTTTGGGATGCGGTATTTTAGGAACAGAAATAATGTTTCACAGCCTACTGGGAATAATCATTTTTCTGTTTTGTTTCCTTCGTTAGTGGTTTTTTTGGTGTGTGAGAGTTACATGTAAGTGTGAGCATTTGTGAGTGGCATAATTTTTCTTTTCAATCCATCACATATTCTGTTTTAATTTGTAAGTGCTTGATGGTGGCATAGTAATCACACCTTGGTGGAATTTACAGGCAGGAGGTGTGCAGCTGAGTACTTTCATGGCTTGTTAGTCGCGCTCCCTAGAGTTTCATTTCAATAATGAAATCACTGTTTTAAGTGTAATCAATGGAAAGTGACAGTCTTTCCTTAAAGACCAAAGAGCCTTTGCTTATTTGATAAAAACTAGGAAAATATTCTTGAAAGAGATTTAACTTTTCTGCTAATTTATCTTATGAAATACTTTGATGCTCATGTACTGGGAATGCAAATGCTGAGAGAAAAGGAGCTGAGCATTTGGTAGGTTCTCTGTTGAGTCAAGTTTCTGGACAGTCTCTGTAATGGAATGTTTCTGTAGTAGGCTTACTTTCATTGCTTTGCAATACAGCTGTATTCTTTGCTGAAATATTACAATTATAAATACTATTTTTTTCTTTTATAGGAAAATGGCATTCCTACAAAGAGAGCACGAAGTGATGAGTATGAGGTATATTTAAAGGTTTTTATTTTTGTGAGTCACTTCTATTGTCCATTAAAGACCTTGATGATAGTTTGCATTTGTAAAGTGCTTCTAAAGTTTCCTCCCTACAAGATTTTTGTGTGTGTTCTGATGTTTTCTTTTCTTCTGGTATCTGTTTAAGGCAGCTAAGGCTGATCTGATCTTTTCACTTTTTTTCTTGTGGTAAAATACACATAAAATAAAATTTACCATTTTATTTATTGCACAATTTTTAAAGTGTGCAGTTTAGTGTAATTAAGCACTTTCACATATGCAGCCATCACCACCTTCATCTCCAGAACTTCATCTTCCCAAACTGAAGCTCTACCCATTAAACACTAACTCTGTGCATTCTGTGCTCTGTCTGGCTCCTGGTAACTGCTATTCTACTTTCTGTTTATGAATCTATTTTAGGAACCTCTTTACTATTTTATTTTATAAGTGAAAAACCAGAGAGAATCAGGAAATGAACCCAGATTTTAGTAGCAAGTTATTTATCGTGGTAGATAGTCTAAAATAAAGGTACTTATGAAAATTGGTCACTGTATCATTTTTTTATTGTAAGGGAAAAAGTGGTTTGAGAGGCTGTTTTAGAATTCTGGAACAAGTCTTTTGGGAATAGAGCAGAAAAAAAAGTTACACCAACTATATGTTAAAATACATGTGTTCTATATATATCTTTTAAATATGTGACTGTCAAACCTTTAATAGTTCTTGACTTAGGACCAGAACATTTGATTGATGTCTGTCATCCCATCTCATGCTGTTGATGCCTTTTTATCTTGCTGATGCCAGACAGTTTTTCCTGACACCTTCCTCAGCCTTCTTTTCCCCTCAACCTTATTTCCATTTTTTTCTCTACTCTAACTGAAACTTATGACCCCAGCCTTTGAATCTACTTCCAAAAATAGCTGCTATTTAATCCCTACCACCTTTGCCTGCCATCCATCTTGTATTTTAAACTGGTGTCCATTAAAATGGTCGTTAAACCATCTATGTTGGAATAACATAGAGCACTTGTTAAAATTTCAGATTCCAGGGCTTGTTCCATATCTACTAAACCAGAATCTCTGATGGGGACTCTTTAGTCCACATATTGAACAAGTGTTTCAGGGCATTCTATATACACTGAAGTGTGACAACCGCTGCCCTAGATGGGAGAGAATAGATATTGAAGGGTTCGAGGCTTTATAGGTTCCTGGAGACTTTGTGTATTAACCTGCAAATAGTTTTTTTTCAGTGGGATTCTGATTTTATATACAGCCAACCTAAAATTTAATTCTTCGAACATGATTCATATGTCAGAGACTGCCTGATCTTAGTCTGTAGTTAGTGTGTTTATTTATAATTTTCTCCCATTTTTTCCAACCCCAAGCCCTTGGCAGCAGCTTTTCTACTCTCAGTTTTTATGAGTTTTGGCCTTTTCTTTCTTCTTTCTTCTTCTTTCTCCTCCTCCTCCTCCTCCTCCTCCTCCTTTAAAAAAAGAATTCCACTTATAAGTGGTACCATGCAGTATTTGTCTTTCTCTGGCTTATTTCAGTGAGCATAATGCCCTAACAGTCCAGCCATGTTGTTACAAGTGGCAAGTTTCCTTCTTTCTCATGGCTGAATAATAATCCATTTTATATTAAGCATATCTTCTTTATCTTTTCACCCATTAATGGACACTTAAGATTGTTTCCACATCTTGGCTATTCTTAATAATCCTCCAGTGAATGTGGGAATGCAGATATCTCTTGACTATCCTGTTTTCTTTTCTTTTTTTCTTTTTTTTTTTTTTTTTTGATAAATATCCAGAAGTGGGATTGCTGGATCATATGATAGCTCTGTTTTTATTTTTTTGAAAAATTGCCATACTGTTTTGTATAGTGACTGCAGCAATTTACATTCCCACCAATGCACAGGCATTCCTCTTTTTTCACATTCTCACCAACACTTCTTATTTCTTGTCCTTTGATAATGACAGCCATTCCAACAGGTGTGAGGTGATATCTCATTGTGGTTCTGATTTGCATTTCTCTGATAATTGTGATATTGAGCACCTTCTCATGTACCTTTTGACCGTGTCTCTTGGAAAACCACGTATGCAATTCCTCTGCCCATTTTTTTTTTAAGATTATTTATTTGGGGGAGAGTGCATGCATGCTTACCTGCATGGGATTGGGGGAGAGGGGAGGGAGAGAGTTCCAAGCAGACTTCCTGCTGAGTGCAGAGCCAGCCCACTGGCCTGGCTCAATCTCATGACCCATGATATCTTGCCCTGAGTGGAAACTGAGTCAGTAGTTTAACTGCTTAACTGAGCCACCCAGGCATCCCCTGCCCATTTTTAATCAGATTGTTTTTTCTTTTCTCTTGAGTTGCATGAATTCTTTATGTTTTGGATATTAATACTTATGAGATACGTGATTTACAACTATTTTTCCCTTTATAGGTTACCTTTTTATATTGTTAATGGTTTCCTTTGTTGTGCAGAAGGTTTTTAGTTTGTTGGTCTCACTTGTTTATTTTTGCTTTTGTTGCATTTGCTTTTAGTATCAAATCCAAGGTTTATTTGATCTTTTAAGAGTTTGAGGAAAGGGGTGATTTCCTCCCATTTTTTCCCAAAGTATATAAAAGTTACTGACTTTTTTCATCTTATGAGTTTTTCTTTTTGGTTTTTGCAAAAAAAAAAAAAAATAGAAGGAAATGAAGGGAAAGAAAACATTTGGAGGAAGTAAATGATTCTTGCTCATATGTAGCTTTCTACTTGAAATGTGTCTCCGTGTATCTTTCTAATTTTCCAGTATATTTCAGCAGACCATTACTGGTTTATAATTAACAATAATGTCAGGATAACCAGACTAACATTGGCTTTAAAAAATTACGCGTAATATACATTTTAGCTGGAGAGGAAAAAAAGCAGGCTGAAATTCGCCCTTCAGAGATCAGGAAAAAATGATAAAGGAGAGATGGTTTGCAGGCTTAAAATTCAAACCTTATCTTTTGTTCTTTTGGCCTAATTCAAGTCGCTATGAGTGGTTTTGGTAGGTGTCATTGGGTAAAACAATTGTCCCTAGCCTGGTCTTCTCTGTCACCTCTGAGTATTCATCTGTATGCATTTGTTCTCTTATAGCCAGGCTTTCAGGGATGAATAAATTATGTGAACATCTGCCATTTACTTAGGTTTTTCTTTTTAACAGCTACTTGAGAAATATTTAAACAGGTGCTGGGGTATCTCATAAAAGAGCATAGAAAATGAAACAACAGCAAGACTGTGTATAAGGTTGCTAAGATAGGTATGAGACATACTTCTATGGAGCAATTGTTGAGAATTTATTCTTGGCTTTGTTCTTTATCTCATTATGGATTTGCATTTCTGTCATTGGCAAACTTTAGTCTTAACCAGAAAAACTTAACAATCATCATTACGTTTGTGGCTCAATTTATATTTAATTTTGTAAGTGGCATTCTTTGAATTAATAGCGTACATGTTTCACTAAGAAAGCCCCCAGATATCGTTTAGCAATGCTGTAAAACCAAAGGTTTGCAACTCTGGTTGTGTATTAAAATTGCTTGCAGAGCTTTTAAAAATAAGCAGTGCCCTGGCTCTATCCCAAAACTATTGAATTAAAATATGTGGGAGGTGGGCCCTAGGAAACCTTTTTTTTTTTTTTTTTTTTTAGTTGATCAAAGCTATCCTGGTGATTTTGATGTATGGCACAATTGAGAATAAGTATTCAATCACTGCTTTTTCAAATGATCTGTGCTAAAGGATTGTTTTGTGGTTTTTTTTGGTTTATTTTTTATCTGTTGTGAACTGATATACTTTAAAAATACAGTAAAAATGAATTATTAGACAATTGTAATTCAGAGTTCAACAGACTTAAAAATTACTCCATCAAATTGCTATAAATGTTTCTAAACGAATCAGTAACAATCAACTTGCATATTAGCTTTGGTTCTTGGCCACACTTGGTGTAGCACTGTATTAAGCCATTGCTTTGCTATGGTAAGTTGTTAGTTACTCACATCAAAATAGCATGCAGGTCAGCTTTAACCTTGAGACTTTCTCTTTGTCAGGCCCAAACTATAGGAAATTATAGACTTACATTCCTAAGTACTCCAGGAAAGGATTTTTACTCACCATTGAACTAGTCTCTTTTGCTTTAAACACTCTGCAAATTTCAAAAATGATAAAAAGAAGCAGTGGCCCTTTTGTAACTTTAGGAAATCAGAGATCACTATATAAGCAAGCTAAATGTAGAAAGGCCTCTGTCTGACTCTTTGTAAACTTGATATCTACCTATGCTGATATCCTTAATTTTATATTATGATCATAATAACTTGCTTTAAATATTGTTTTATGATTTTCAAAATATTTTACTTCATAATAATTTTTGTGTATTTTCATTTAAATTATATAATTGGTTTTATTAAAACCTTATATGGTGAGTAGGACAGAGATTATTCCATTTACTTTACAGATTGGAAAAATGAGACATTTAGCTTACATAATGGATACTGTCTCTCACTTCTGTTTTAGTTGGAAAATAAAAATTGAAACAAGTTTCTTGACTCCATTCTAGTTCTGTCACTATATTGCAAACGTATTTCCAAAAATAAAGCAACTTCTAACACTTCAGTAGTATTCACGTGACCTGATGGCTTAAATTCTACTGTGTTTTAGAAAAGTTGTCTAATTTTTCAGAAGAAATTTAAGGCATATGTAGATGTATGATGCTGTCTCCACACATTTTTGTAGGGAAGGAAACTACAGCATTCTTGCGTAAGAGAGAAGTGATAAAATAAAAGATAGGTAAAATTTTAAAGATGATCTCTCCCTTTATTTTTTTTAACTGCAGAATTTGTTTAATATGGTTGTAGAAGTACCTCGGTGGACAAATGCTAAAATGGAGGTATGGATATATTCTTTTATGATCAAGTGGAAATTATAATTAATGATATAAAAACTTTGTTTTAAGTTGCTTAACATAATATTTTGAATTTAGGATGGTTAACAATCTTCTTTATGATAAAAACAAAAGCATTTTTGTGGATTTTGAATCTAATTTCAAATAGCAAGATGTTAGTCAAAGCTGAATTTATAGTTTAAAGAGTATGTTTTCCATTTTGGCCTCTCTAGTTATACATATATCATATTTATTTAATTTTATTTAACTCTTCTTTGAAAATAATAAAAAAATTCAAGGTTTTTAAAACAGATTGTGAGATATATTTTGTTCACAAATATAATTGAAATGTATTCATTTGGGATTGATGTCAAGTTAGTTTCTAAAGACTAAATTGTCCTTCAGATTTTACTCTACCAGGAATGAAAGCATTTTCCTGGCCAGCTCTTGATAAGTGCTATCTAAGAGCATCTGCTGTTCCCGTGGTTACCTTTTTTTTTTTTTCCCTTTTGTATCTTCCTTGAAACATGAACCTATCAAGAACTTTTCCCTTTTGTCCTTCAGAATTTTATTGTTATATCTTCAGTTAGGTAAGATTCCTTATAGTTGAGTGAAATTTAATTTATGGCATTTAATTTCTTTAGTTATTTAAGTCCTTTTTATATAGCTTTGGATGAGATGGCAAGTATTACTTGAAGTTTTTTATTTTTGAAAAAAGATTTTCTTTCTTCTCTTCTTTCTCTTCTCTTCTCTTCTCTTCTCTTCTCTTCTCTTCTCTTCTCTTCTCTTCTCTTTCTTTTCTTTTTTTTTTTCCTTTTCTTTCTTTTCTTTCAGCATGCACAAGCAGGATGAGGGCCAGAAGGAGAGGAGAGAATCTCAAGCAGACTCTGTGCTGAGTTTGAAGTCCAGTGCAGACTCAGTCTTAGGATACTGAGATCATGACTTGAGTCGAAATCAAGAGTTGGGCAAAACTGACTGAGCCACCTAGGTGCCCCTCAAGTATTTTAATTAAGGATTGCTAGATAGAGGGACACCTGGGCAGACGCTCAATCACTGAGCGTTCTGCCTTTGGCTCCGGTTGTGAACCTGGGGTCCGGGATAGAGTCCTAATTGGGCTCTTCTCAGGGAGCCTGCTTCTCCCTCTGCCTATGACTCTACCTCTCTGTGTGTGTGTGTGTGTGTGTGTGTATGTCTGTGTCTCATGAATAAATAGATTAAAAAATATTTTTTAAAAAAGGATTGCTAGATAGCTGTATATTTTTCAGAATTTATATTTAGAGAATTGCCAGTGTTTTTACCAGGTTCTAGAAGAACTTTTTTGGTTAATATTTTACTAGGGAAGAGTAAAAATAATACTTTTTTTTTTTTTTTGTCTTCCTTCAGAACATTTTAGCATTCTGGCTACTTTCTATCTCAATTAGGTATAGAATCAAGAATTGGTGAGATTCTACCTGTTTTAAGCCATTTGTATTCATTACAAAATGGCTTAAGTTATTTATAGCCTAGTTTTTTTTTTTTGCAAAGCAATTTGAGTATATTTTATAGAAAGGTAATTGAAATAAAATTACTTGATGAAAATCTTTAAGTCATCCTTACTATCTTAAGATTGATAACACACCCCAGATTAGTAACAAATAGCAAGTAGGTTAATCTTTATCCTTTTGCCATTTCATTCTGTTATTTGCATTGAAAATAAGTGCGTATATAATATAGAGTACCAAAATATATAATCTGGTGTTTCCTTTTTTGGACACTTTTTCCTTACACAATACTCTAAAGTAGAAATAAGAGTTGGCTTAGTTTATTTGAAAGTATCTTTGATCAGTAAGTTGGAATATAAATATTTAGCCTGTAGTAGCAGATTTAAAACCTACATTTTGAATATAGGATTAATCATGTCTCATCCTCCGCTCCCTCTTTTTTTCCATGATCTGCTTAGATTGCCACAAAGGAGCCTTTGAATCCCATTAAACAAGATATGAAGGATGGCAAGCTACGCTACGTGGCAAATATCTTCCCTTACAAGGGTTATATTTGGAATTATGGTGCCCTCCCACAGGTAACATTTTTGTTGTAATGGTAAAACTTCTCTGTCTTCTGAAAAAAATTGCCTTGCAAATCCTGTGAACTACTTGAATTTAAATTGGTTCTGAGGGCATGTCAGTTTGAGAGATTTGTAAATTAAAAAATTTTTAATGTGGAGTTTTATTGTATCAATAAATTTTTTCAAACTATATATATGTCTATACTCAAGTTCTTGGAGTTAGGCATATAGAACACTTATATTTGGCATTTAAACACTTTTTTTTTTAAGATTTTATTTTATTTATTCATGAGAGACACAGGGAGAGGCAGAGACATAGGCAGAGGGAGAAGCAGGCTCCTCACAGGGAGCCCGATGCAGGACTTGATCCTAGAACCCCATGATCATGCCCTCAGCCAAATGCTCAGATACTCAAATGCAGATGCTCAACCACTGAGCCACCCAAGCATCTCTAAACACTTTTTTTCGGGGTGGGGGTGGGAGGGCTTGGCTGTTAAGAGTCAGTGAAAAATGTTTTACCTGCTTTATCTTTAGTCATGTCTTTGAATGTGACAGGTTATACTTTTATATATATTCATATATGATAGTATCCTATCTTATCCCTTTTTGTTTTCTTCTCAAGTTTCCTCACTCCTAGGAGATAGTATCTCCTTCCATATTATTTAGTGATCTAAACTCAGAGTAAAAAGTCAGAATGAAAAGTCTAGGTTTAGGGGATGTAGAAAAGCATCTATTTTTATGATTATGAAACCCATCTATATCAGACCATGTATCTGGATATTTAAACTTTATATTTTATTTATTAATTTTAATATTTTGTGTGAGATTTTAAAATGCTTTTGGGGAAATATCTGAGAAAAAGGAGTCTTGCTTTATCCCACTCAAGAAAACAGCTACCCATGTAGAATAAATATTTATAGGAAAAGAAGAAAGAAAATTGTTTTCTAATGGATCAGCCTGCCTTTGATTCAGTTAGACCATCCACATGGATAGATTCTTGGTTAAAACAAGCACTTCTAAAATGATGTACTAAGAATGAGAATGTCTATTGAAATAATGAATGCAGGTGTTCTGACTCCCCAGGTGCTTAAGTAGACATTCTGTTCGACCTATCAGTAAAAAGGTAAAAAAAAAAAAAAATTGTTAAGCTTAGGGGATACTGTTTGTAGGAGAGGATATATGGATGATGGGAAGGCCAAAGAAGCAGTTGAATTAGAGAAAGACAAAAACAGAGACATATAAAGTAGAATAGGCAAGGGATAAACTCAAGTTCATGTATTTTTTTTTGTGAAACATTTATTAAGGATTTATGTGCTTGGCAGTGTATGGATGTTGGGTACACAAAGAAAAACAATATACAAATATAAGATCAAAGAAGCATAGTAAGTGACTGAGAATGTGGGTTTTGGAGCAGATAGCATTTACTAGTAATGTGACCTTGGGTACGTTACTTTGTCCTTCTGTGCCTCACTTTCTCCATCTGTTAAATAGAGATGATGAAGTACCTAGTGCATATGGTCATGTTGAGGTTAAATGAGTTATTGCACATTAATCTTAGAAGAGTGCCGGGAGGAGAGTGATCACATTATTATAGCTACTGGCACTGTTTTTTTTGTTTTTGTTTTTTTTTTTAAATGATTTTATGTATTTATATATGAGAGACACAGAGAGCGGCAGAGACATAGGCAGAGAGAGAAGCAGGCTCCTCACAGGGATCCTGACATGGGACTCGATCCGAAAACTGGGATCATGCCCTAGCCAAAGGCAGACTCTTAAGCGCTGAACCACCCAGGCATCCCGCTACTGGTACTTTTATTATATGGTCTTTCCTCTAAAGGAATTTAGAGGGGATAATCAACCAAACCACTGGTTACCATGGAGCATAAGTGCTGTTAATCCATGTACTAATTCTGAGCTTTTGTAGTTTTTCTATCTAAAGTCCTGAGAATTTTTGTGCTCCTCTGGATGTGTTAGAATTTCAAGATGTTCCAACTACTATTAGTCTGTTAGGTACAGTACTACATTAATTACAACAGAATTAGACTGTAGCAGTCTCTTAAAGCATCCAGAACTCTTGCCTACTGAAGTTTACTACTCCATCCAGCATTCAAAAATAGCATTTGAAAAACTTAAATCTGCTATAGTTTTGGTCATATGAGTACCAAATAGTGGTTTCCTATTGCCAAAAGGGTAAAATATAATATTCTTAACATGACTCCTCAACCCTGCTTAATCTGGCCTCTGTAAACTTTTACAGCATTTGTCTTTCCTTGCTTCCATTCTACCACAGTGACTTCTTTAGTGTTTCTAATTTCCCTTGGTTTTATACCGAACCTTCATGGAGGTCCTCATTCAGTACATATTATATTAGTGCCTGATGTTTGCCAGGCAGTGTTGTAAGTACTGTAGGTAAAGTAGTGATAAGAATGACAAAAATCCTTCTGGGTCTTTTATTCTAGATAGAGTGACAAAAAAGTAAAAAAAAATGTGTAATGTGTCAGATAGTGGTAGGGAATGGGACTAGGATATGTTGGGAATGTTGTAATTTTGATAAGGAGAAGGCCTCAGTGAGGAGGTGTTATTTGAGCGAAGACCTCAAGGAAGTGAGGGACAAGTAGTATGCATATCTAAGGGAATCCAACAAGAAACACGTGTAAAGGTCCCAGGGTGGAAGTAGGCCTGGTGTGTTTGAGTATCAGAAAGAAGGCCAGGGGATCCCTGGGTGGCGCAGCGGTTTGGCGCCTGCATTTGGCCCGGGGCGCGATCCTGGAGACCCAGGATCGAATCCCACATCGGGCTCCCGGTGCATGGAGCCTGCTTCTCCCTCTGCCTATGTCTCTGCCTCTCTCTCTCTCTCTCTCTGTGACTATCATAAAAAAAGAAAGAAAGAGAGAGAGAAAGAGAAAGAAAGAAAGAAAGAAAGAAAGAAAGAAAGAAAGAAAGAAAGAAAGAAAGAAAGGCAGGCCAATGTGGCTAGAATGGAAGTGAGGAAGAGAAAATAGACCTGTATTTTCTCTGCCGTTTTTAACCAGAATCCTTACCATCCTTTTAAACCCACACCCATAAGTGCATGTATGATATGAGTATGTGTGTGTTAGTCTTCAGCAAAAGAATACACTGTAGATTGCATAGAAGTTATTTACCAAACAATAACTAAACTAATTAATGTTTATGAAAAGTTTAAATTAGGCCATTTGTTTATGGGAAAGAATAATTGTACCTAATATCTTTTCACTTCATTGTTAGTATCAAGACAGAATGAATCTATTAAAATGATAGCCAGCTCCTGGTCCTGTTTATATTTTTTATTTCCTCTCCAGCTTCTCATCCTTCTTTTGCTCCCTCACTCCCACCTTGGCCTTCTCACAATTCCTCTTGTTCTCCAGGCACACTTAGGCTGCAGGCCTTCACAATATTTATTGTGTCCTCCAGCTTAGAACACTTTCTGCTGGGAACATGGCTTTACTTTCTTACATGCTTGCTCATAAATCACTTTCCTTGTGATGCCTGCCCTGAAAATCCTTTGGAATTTTAACCCTGCTTCCTGAATTCATATTTTGCTTCCCTACTTTTTTTTGCCACTTTCTATAGAACCTACCAACTTTTTTTTTTTTAAATTCAGTTTGCCAGCATACAGTATAGCACCCAGTGCTCCATGTGCCCTCCTCAATGCCCATTACCTAGTTACCCCATACCCCCATTAACCTACCCCTCTTCAACCCTTTGCTTCCCAGAGCTGTGAGTCTCTCATGGTCTTTCTCTCCAATTTTTCCCCACTCAGTTTACTCTCTTCCTTTATGGTCCCTTTCAGTGTTTGTTACTTCACATTCCACACCACATTGAGTGAAACCATATCATAATTGTCTTTCTCAGATTGACTTATTTCAGTCAGCGTAATACTCTCCAGGTCCATCCACATCAATGTAAATGATAGAGAACCTACCAACTTCTAACATGTTCCATAATTTAGTTATTTATTATGTTTATTGTTGATTTCTTCCAGCTAGAATACAGACTCCAGGAGGACAGGTATTCTGTTTGTATTGTTCATTGGCGTCTTCCAACTAACTGCCTAGCTTAGTACCTGGCACGGCGTAGGTGATTAATCAATACTTGATGAAAGAATGATGAATTTATTGTGTGTATTATATTTGTTTCATAGGTACATATAGATACTGGATTTTTCTGTTTTCTTATGATTTGTCTTTTAACAGAAGGAAATTTGTTCAAAATTGTTACCAGGCCAACTGCACTTGGAAGAACATTAAACAGCAGTTTGCTTAAGTAGCAGTCTCTCTTCCTTAGTGATTTGTCAGTGTGCTGTCATTATTTCAGATCTTTAGCTGTCTATACTGTTGAACCTTAATAACTTCTCCCTCACTATCAGTAATGCCTTCCCCAAAATTTGTGTTTGGCCTGAGCAAAAATTTTGTTTTCTCACAGTTCTATTTCTGTGTATAATGGATTACTCAGTGTTACATCTTCTGAATGAATAGTTAAAAGACCCATTAATGTTAATGGAATAAATAATGTTAAAGGAATCATGAAATTTAAGATTTTCTTAGTGTTTTTTATTTTCTTGGCAATTGAACATTTTTTTTAAAATCAAAGTATGGTTGACAAAATGTTACATTACTTTCAGCTGTACAACACAGTGATTGGACAACTCTGTAGGTTATGCTATGCTCAACACAAGAGTAGCTACCATCTGTGACCATACAACACTATTACAGTACCATTGACTCTATTCCTTATGCTGTACTCTCATCACTGTGACTTACTCATTCCGTAGCTAGAAGCCTGTACCTCTCCCACTCCGCTTTACCTATTTTGCCAACCCTGTATGCCAGCCCCCCACCAAAATTTCTTCAGTCATAATGTAATATGGTTCTGTTTTTATTTTGAATTTCGTTATAAATTTGGTTCATTGACCCCAAGTATCATTTAGTACCACTTATTAGCTTTATAACCTGGGACCAGTGACTAAATCTCTCTAAGCCTATTTGTACATCTATATCATCATACCATCTACCCCACAAGGTTATTGTCAATATTGAATGAGATAAGGCAAAATGGTTAACTTCGTAGTGAGTTCTCAGTATTTTCTTGATGATGCTACTGTTGCCGTTGATACTTGTTGCTAATAGTGAAACAACTGGTAGTGGCTTTTGCTCCACATTGAATCTCTTAAAGTACAGGTAGTGGCTAGGTGGATCCTACTTCCCTTGACTGGGTTATAGGAATCCTGATTAATCAAGAAGTAGTTCTTGAGAAGCCCTGTATATACAGCTCTGTATAGTTCAATGATTTTTTTGACTTAAGGACCAGAGTATTAGGATTGCAAATGTATTGCTTAATATTTGTAGATTGTAAGGTAATCATCTCAAATGTCTGCACAAGGATGAGAAAGATTTGTTTTCTTATCTGTATGGCTAGATTAATAATCTGTATATTCAAATTTATTTATTTTCATAGCTTTATAACCATTCTTTGTATGAGATTAACATTATTTATATTTCTGTTGATAGTTTCTTTTTTAAATGCTTTTCCTGGGTCCATGCTAAAATTTTTCTATATATGTAATATATAGAGGTATTTATTGGTAAGTGTATGCTTATAAGTCAGATTGCTTAATTGTGAGTTACACACTTTTTTTTACTAGGAATTCCCAAATTGCTTACAAAAGAAATTGTATTGATATACACTCCTACCAGCAGTATATAGTGTCCTAAGTGCCTTATATCCTTATCCTTGAACATGAGTTTGAACTGCATGGGTTTGAATCCACTTATATACAGATTTTTATGGTACAGTACTGTAAATGTATTTTCTCCTCCTTATGATTTTCTTGATAACGTTTTCTTTTCTTTAGCTTACTTTAAGAATGTAGTATATAATGCATGTAACATAGAAAATAGTGCTGTCTATGTAATTGATAAGGCTTCCTGTTAACAGTAGGCTGTTAGTTAAGTTTTGGGGGAGTCAAAGTTATACTCAGATTTTTAACTGTGCAGGGTTCAGCATCCCTAACTCCTGAGTTGTTCAAGGGTCAGCTCTATTTGGCATTATTGGATTTTAGGTTTTTGACATAGTGTCTCATTAAGGTTTTAATTTTTATTTTTCTGATCAGACTAGGTTTCTTCTTATATATTTATAAGTCATTTATGTTTTCTCTTTGAATTACCTGTTCCTGTCTTTGGCCCATTTTGTATTGGGTTGCCCTTTTTCTTATTTAGTTGTAGAAGTTATTTCTAAATTTTGGATGCTAATCTGTTTCTTACTTTTGTGAAGCAAATAATAAATTTTGGAATTTCCTCTTGTGGATATTGAGCCATTTTAGTTGTTTTCTCTGCCTAGTTATATAGTTAAAGCTCCACAAGAGGGCGTAATCAAAATTGTAAATTTGTCAAGATTTCTTCTCCTGGTGCTTGCTTAAAATTATACTATATTTTCAAGTTAAGTTAGAAGTCATTTAATGTGAATCGCTTTTGTAATAACAACAGAGGCCTGTGCATAAAGTATTAAAGGCAGGGCTGGAAATAGAACAGTCTGGTCTTTTTGCTGCAAGGGAAATCATGAAGAACTTGCCTTTAAAGTGTCAAGATTGGGATCCCTGGGTGGCACAGCGGTTTGGCGCCTGCCTTTGGCCCAGGGCGCGATCCTGGAGACCCGGGATCGAATCCCACGTCGGGCTCCCGGTGCATGGAGCCTGCTTCTCCCTCTGCCTGTGTCTCTGCCTCTCTCTCTCTTCTCTCTCTCTCTCTCTCTGTGACTATCATAAGTAAATTAAAAAAAATAATAAAGTGTCAAGATTATATAGCTTAGGAATTTTGCAATTATGCACTTACTTGATGGGAGGAATAAATTGATAGATAATACTGAAAGTGGAGTTCTGAGAGGGATGTAGACGAACTGATTAATAATTAGGGAGCACCCACTGAAACCAAATGAAGTCTAGCTTATATGAAGCTTTTTGTTTTTGTCTCAGTTTAAGGAAGGAGTTTCTTAAAATTAATGCTGATCAAAATAGAGTAAGTTGTCTCATGAATTTGTAAGCTTCCTATTCACTGGTAATATTCATGTGGATGATAAATGACCACTAACAGTCATAGAACTCAGGGCTGGGATGTATCTAGCAATTGTCTTATGTGGGCCATTTTTTTTTTTTTTAGTAGGTGAGGAAACTGAGGTCTGGATATTTGGGCCAAGGTAATTTGTGACTGAAGGAGAACTGGAGTCTAAGTATCTTCCTTTAGGTCAGAATGACTTTACCTATCACATTTGTCCCCTTCTGAGAGTGGAAGTAAACTTAAGGGAAGTTCAAGAGAGGGTTCTCATATCAGGAAGGAAGAATCTCGCAGATATTTTCTGATTCTGCTTCTAGGTTTTCTGATTTCAGTCTTCACTCAATCCCATCTTGGTTTCTCCAGCACGTCAAGATTAATTTTATAGCATATTTGACAAATGCTGTACCATTTATTAACTTGACATTCTTCATAGTATTGGCTATACCCTCCAGTTCATCTCTGTTTCTAACTTCTGTCCCAGAGTACCTAGGTACTCAATAAATATTTGCTGTGTGAATGGATGCGTACTTAGGAGATTCTGTAAGAGAAGGTATTTAAGAGAAGAGAATCATGAAATAGAATACGATTATATCTGAAAGTAATTGCCATTCAGTTGCTGCTGTTATCAAAACTTGGATATCATAACATAATGGTTAATACCTTGAATTCTCATCCCATTGCCACCATTTAGAAAATGTGAGCATTGGGCAAATTTAAATTCTGTGTGCTTCAGTTTATTTGTAAATGAGGTCAACAATAGTATCTTCCTCATGGGGTGGTGTGTGTATGTATATGTGTGTGTGTTTGGTTGTATCACTTAGAAAGTGTCTCTCACCTATAACCAGTATATGAGGTTAACAATTTTGTTTATTCTTGTATTTTACTATTAATATTAGTATTTGAGGTAGTGAAATGTTGGTTTACTGATTTATTTTTTTAGCAAGGTGGGGTTCATTTTATTCCTAAATATATTATAATTTGGACCAGAAGGAAAATATTTATGATCAGCTATAAATAAGAGTATGTTTTTTTTAATCATCAGTATAGAATTAGAGGCAATAAGCTTGGGTAATCTGAAATTATCTCTAGATAACAATTTTGAGGTCACTCCATCTCTGCACATCTTATAATGTAAATCTTAGGAAAATAACTTTAGGAAACTTCTACAGTTCCATTTAGAATCCAGTAATTATGAGGCTTTTTGGGAAGGATGGTGCCTAAGGGATAGTTAAATTTGGTAACAAATTTGTGTTATGCTGTTCATTTATAAAAATGCCCATGTGTATATTTTGTAACCAACAGGGTATAATCTTTACAGTAAACTTAAGAGTTGACATCTTTTCATGCTTTTGTCAAGGTCTTGAGATTTGATGACAAAGTAGAGGATTTTTTAAATGGAATAAAATGAGACAAAAATAGATTTTTCTTTTGTTTGGTGTAGATTGTCTTGTTCTTTAGTTTTATAAAGGGAAAATTAGGTTTCTTCTAGTAGAAGTTACTTAAAGAATTGGAAGCTTATTTTCATACCCAGAGAGGCAGACCTAATGCTATTACCATGCCCAAGGAAGCAATGAATGATAGAAGCAACAGTTTGGGGAGCCTGTGGAAGCGGTGCAGACAGTGGAAACCTCTGAACTGAAACTTGAAAAGAGCATGAATTTACATGCTGACTCAACTTGGAAGAAGAGTATGTTTGGAAATACTGCCCACTTTCAGATGTGATTATACAGAAAAATGAGAGACCAGAGGGAGGAAATGATGTAAATCTGTCTTAATTATTATATATTTAGGGTTGTCTTGGCATGTTGACATCGAGCCTGTACAATTTTTGAGAATTTTCCCTTTGGATTATGACTATAAAACTTTGTGATCATGTGGAAAGATTAAGATATATTATAGTGGGTATTAACCTATGTTTCTCCCTCTCTTCTCTCCTTTTTTTTAGACTTGGGAAGATCCCCATCGAAAAGATAAGAGTACAGACTGCTGTGGAGATAATGATCCTATTGATGTTTGTGAAATAGGCTCAAAGGTTTGTTTTCTAGACTATGTTATTCCATTATGTGTTCTACTCTGTTCATGCCATAAAATTTCAGTTCTCTTTGGAAGGAACCAGTTCCTCAGCTCTCCCAAGGTCTAGCCTCTTGCTCCCTGAGATAGGAGTCCCTTTTTGTATCTTTATTTCCTTCTCTTATACTGGGGGTTTGTAAACTGCAACCCTTTGCAAGTCAAATAGAGTGTCCCACCTATTTCTGTCAGTAGCACAGGTATGCCCATTCACTTGTGTTTTTGTCTGTGGCTGCTTTTGCACTGAAATTGACGAGTGGCCACAGAGACTATACCATCCACAGAGTCTAAAGTAACTGACTCTCTGACTTTTACAGAAAAGGTTTGCCGAGTCCTGTTTTCAGCTTCCTTGCACAGCATTATCCAGACAGGAAATTCAATACTGAACAAAGCCAACTCATATTCTTGTTTTTGTGTCTGCTTCCAGGTTGCTAAGACCTACTGGGGAAGAACAAAACCTACAATTTCATAGGTTGCTACTATTTATAGAATTCTATGTGTTTTTTGATGTTTTTCTATTTTCTGTTGCATTTATTGCAAATATTTGTTCTTCTTTGCAGACATTCAGTTCCTTGCATTTTGTTCTCACTTAACAGCAGAACAGATTGTCTTGTAATTTTGTAGAGGCCACAGGAACGAGCTCCTCCCTCATCTTTTCTTTTTGGACTGTCAAACTGCCTGGGTTTACAAACATTGTATCTTCCATCTCTTCTGCTATGAGAACTATCTCAACATGTAAGACCAAGGCTTTCACCTGTACTCTGGATCCTGTCCCTTCCTGCCTCATGAGTGATAGTATTTTCTTATCCCTTCCCTGTTCTGTATTCACAATTTCTCTTTATTGGCACCCTCCTCTGTGCTTTCTTCCCCTTCACATGAAGACTCATAAAAAGAGTTTTCAACACTCATCTGCACTTTCCACTTAATCTGCAACCTATTTCAAAATTGTTTCCATGCCCCCAGCATTTCTGTGAAACTGCTCTCACCAAGGTCTACTAACTTTCTTCTAGCCAGATCGAGCAGGCTTGTTTTATAGGTTTTGTCTAACTTGAACTCACTGTGGCATTTTATACTGTTCACTTTGTCTTCCTTCTTGAAACTGTCCTTTACTTTTACTGTATCATACTGTCTTGGTTGTACTCTAATTCTGCTTCCTTCTTGGTTTCTTTTCAAGCTCCTTCTCTCTAATTCATAGGTATTATTTGGCTTGAGGACTTTATGCCTTAGTCCAGCTCTTCTCTAACTGGATTTCCTTTGATTTTTCTTCTCTGAAAACAAATTTTTTATTTTTCCCTGGTTTTGTTTTGTTTTTTCTTTGACTCAAATTCCTTCAGCATTTAGAACTTTTTTTTTCCAGTGATATTTATTGTTCAAGAAAATTGTACTTATATTAATGGAAATAAAATCAAGCATAAACCTTCCCTCACAATCCTCCTATCCTAGTAAGTCATACAGTTTTTATCTTCCCATGCTTTTTCCTCTTGGGATAAATATATAAACATTTCGATTTTGTTGGACATTTTTTCCAGTTTATTTTTTCTTCTACACTTAATATAGTTAAAGGTCTTCCTGAATATAGCTCTCCCTCCCCCACTTTTTAAAGATTTTATTTATTTATTCATGAGAGAGACACACAGAGAGGCAGAGACATAGAGGGAGAAGTAGGTTCCCTGTGGTTAGCCCGGTATGGGACTTGATCCCAGGATCCTGGGATTATGACCTGAGTCAAAGGCAGCAACTCAACCACTGAGCCACCCAAGGTGCCCCTAGCTTTTCCTTTGTAATTTTTTTTTTGATAACTGGATATGGAAGGCAGGGTTTCTAGAATGGCCCCTTAAAGATGTCTGCCCTAAGCCCTAGAATCTGTGAATATGGTAATATGTTACTCCTATGATTGTATTATTTTATATAGCAGTTTACTTTAAAGTAGGATTATCCTGGATTTCCCATATGCCGATCCAGTGTAATTAAATGAACCTTTAAAAGTATGGAGCTTTCTCTTGCTACTGGCAGAAGAGGAACTTAGAGGTTCAAAGTGTGAGAAGTACTGATATGACATTGCTGGTTTGAAGATGGAGAAGGGGGCATTTGAAAAGGATGCACTTGGCTTCTAGTTGCAGAGAGCAGTCACTGGTTGGCATCCAGCAAGTCAATGGGGACCTCCGTCCTACACCTACGGGGAACTGAATTTAAGTGGAATCATTTTTAGAGCTTTCAGATCAGATCCCAATCTGTGAACCAACTTGATTTTGGCCTTGTCAGGTTGTAATCAGTCTTAGCCATGTTGTGCTTGGACTTCTAACCTGTGGAAACTGTGAGATAATAAATTTATACTATTTTAAGCCTTTAGGATTGTCATAATTTGTTATACTACAGTAGAAACACAGGATAACAGTATTTGAGCAATTTTACTTTCCATGGTTTTCTTGTATTGTGTAGGTCCAGTTGAAGTTTTACCTCATTGAAATTCAGAATCAACCTAGAAATTTTGTTGTAGATCACCACTTATATTCTGCTCATATTAGGCTCCTGAGAGGTTCACAGTTGATAAGTGTGAGCTGATACATCTATGTAGAGACCAGAGAGAGAAAAAAAATATATATATATATATATATTTATTTATTTATTTATTTACTTATGATAGTCACAGAGAGAGAGAGAGAGGCAGAGACACAGGCAGAGGGAGAAGCAGGCTCCATACACCGGGAGCCTGATGTGGGATTCAATCCTGGGTCTCCAGGATCGCGCCCTGGGCCAAAGACAGGCGCCAAACCGCTGCGCCACCCAGGGATCCCAGAAAAAAATATTAATATCTGTAGAAGACCTCTTATGTTCTAGTTCATGTATGTGTTATAGCCTTTGTTTTTTACTTCAAGGAATAAGTGATACAGTCTCCATTTTACTGTTGAGAAACCAAATTCTAAACTACCATGTGAAGTAATTTGCTTAAGGTCACCTTTAAGAATAGTGGGGAAAGAATTCAGCTTCATAGTATTTAGGACTTAAAAAGCCTATCTTTTGAAACTTTTTCCATAATAGCTAGAAAAGTTGGTGATAACCCTAGTCTGATTCTACCTAAAACATTTGAGGCACATCTCTGTTGTTTCAGAATCTCAACTCATTTTTCAAACATGGTGAACTCTGTGATTCCCAAAGAATCAGTGACAGACTCTGAACTGGGAAAATAGGTTTCATCTTATAGCCAGTGCAGTTTATTCCTTTAGATAATGAGACCTGAAATAACATTTAGTAAATATGAAGTAAGTGTCAGTCACCATGTAAAGAATAGTTTGGTTGTTGGTAGGGCACTTCTTTCTTTTCTTTCTGGCTGTGTGAAGAGTCCTTAAATCATCTGTTAAGGAACATAGTAGTAGAAAGTATTTTTGAACACTATGTTGTAAATAGACAAAGGGAAGGGAGCAAAGCCCTGGAAGTTGATAATAGAGTTAAAAACATATTTATATATTTTTAAGATTATTGAAATTCCTTGAGGGATTATGTATTATTCACTTGATATCTAATACCATGTGTTCTGCATAAATTTGTTGAATTGATTTAGAATAAATTGAATTGTAGGGCGTTCATAAGAATTTTACCAGTTGTTCTTAAGTATCTTATTCCGAGTTTTTGGTTTGATTGAGAGTTTCCTTTCCAGTCTTTAAAGGTATTATATACCAAGACAATGGTTTATCTAATCCTTTTATGTTGCTTATGAGATCAGAGAGCATGCTTCATTCTGATGAATTGACAATCGCCAGACATGTTTCCTGCTTGCCCTTGTAACTAAACATCTCATGTCTGCTCTTATGTTGTATGAAATTTCGAAGTAAATTATTAATTTTTGTGAATAAAAATAAAATAATTTACAATGTGCTTTTAAAACTATACATGATTCCTAGGATTTCTGATAAGACATCCCTGCCACCAGTCTTCTGCAGGGTCCTCAATCGGCACTATTGACATCTTGGATGGATAATTCTATTATAGGGAACTGTCCTGTTCAGCATTCCTGGCTTCTTTCCACTAGATGCTAGTAATGTAATACCTCCAGACATGCCAAATAGTCTCTAGAGGGCAAAATTGCCTCTGGTTGAGAACCAGTGTTCTAGTTTATCACTGAGTTAACCAGCGTGTCCAGCCTTACACTGGTAATTATGTGATAACTTCACATTTGAATATTTTTGTTTATAGAGGATCTCCTTGCATTAGTTGTGTGAGTCTCCCCAATAAGACTGGAAACCTTTGAGAAACGGACTGTTTCTTTTTATATACATAGTGTTTAATATAGTGATGGGTATTTAATAGAACTTAAATATGTGAGTCTGGTTAATATAATTGTGCATATTTCCCTAAAAGTGAGATTTTGTTTACTTTATAAATTGTCACACTGATCTTTTATATAATTAGTTCTAACTAATTGCAAGTTCTTGTATATTTGTTTTAAGATTTTAGATTCGTTTTGCACATCTTCTGAAAGGATTTATTTGATTTTATGGTTTTAGATATCTTATTTTTTTCTTCAGATTTCAAGACACAAAAGTGATTTTCTTTTGCATATCTTGCTTTCCAAATGTAAAGCGGCATTTTGAGTCATGGGGGGATTTATTCTGAAGCATGTATTCAAATTTTAGCCTGCAGTGGAATTCTGTAGAGCAAACCAAACCTTTAAAAATAAAGGGATGTAGAAAGAATGCATGAATATAAACTTGTCATTGGCAACTTGAGGGAACCACTGAAATAACTTTAACACTTGGAACATCTGCTTCAACATCATGCATTTCTTGGTTTCTTTTAAAATCTTTTTAAAGCGTTTTTTGAAACCTGTTTTATCTGTATTTTTAACATATTAATTCTTTTACTATCATTCATTATCTTCTTGAGGTTGTATTCTAATATGTTAAAAATCTACTTTTCACTAGTAGCTGATAAATGTTTGCAAAAAAAAAAGTAATTTAGAAGGATTCTCAGGTCTCTTTTTTATCCCCAGCAGCAAAAGCGAGGTTTATACTATGTAATGATATACATAGGTTTATTTTCTGTTTAGTGTGAACTTCTAGGCCTAGTACACTAAATTTCAAGATCTATAAATAACTTCAGTTTCCAAAAAGGGATCAAGATACTTAATTCTAAAAGGCTATCATAAAAGGCTTTATGACTTTTTACATTATCTTTAATTATTAAAGCTTTATTAAATTGCAGCCTATAGCGCTTTAATCTTTCATATGGGTTTTAATGATATATGAGTAAATTTCTCCAAAGCTTTGCAAAACACTGAATTTCTTTTCTGTTTAAAGGTTCTTTCTTGTGGAGAGGTTATTCCTGTGAAGATCCTTGGAATTTTGGCTCTTATTGATCAGGGTGAAACAGATTGGAAAATAATTGCTATCAATGTGAATGATCCTGAAGCTTCAAAGTTTCATGGTAAGTCTGTAACTTTCTAGAAATAGAAGTAAATAATGTGTCAGCAGAATTCTTAGAATTTAAAAAGCGCATATTCTAAAATACAGTGTGTATATTTGGGAGTTAAATTTATGTGTTTTATTTGTTTTCTCTCCATCCACAGAATATAAAGGGCAGTCCATTATTGTGTCTGAGTTGTGTCATAGTGCTAGGAAGAGCAAGAGAGAAAAGGATATAGGCAGACAGGTGGTATTTCAGACTAAGAAAGTACATTTCCTTCTTCCTTCCATCCATTCCCTCCCTCTTTCTTTTTTCTTTGTTTTTTCTTTAATCTCTTCTTTTGTTCATTTGAGTAACAGGAACTAAGGGGGAAGTGTTCATCAAGCACATAAGCAGTTTCTATATCTAGTTTTGGTCTGGTTGCAAAAATGGGAGGAAAAGGTAACTGCCTTTGACAAAATTTTGATATCTCAGAAATAGTTTTTTATGATAGAGTTGACTTTCTTTGGAGTCAAATGGACCTCAGTTAGAGTTCTGTGCTCCTTCCTACCTGAGTGACTTTGAGTAGATCATTTAACTTTCCTCAATTTCAGTTTGGTCACCTGTAAAGGGAGATAGTTATACCTACTTGTGAGCTTGTTGAAAGAGATGATTTACTTAAAGCATCTGGCTGTCATATATCAAGTGTTGAAAATATGGCCCCTATTATATTATTCTTTGACTCTTTCCCCCCCTATTTTTCTAATCTTTTTTCTTTCAGTTTGATTCTTTTCCAGATTCCTGGTTCCTTCTAGATCTCAATTCTTATTTGGAGAATATACCATTTCTGAATTGACTGAAACTCGTTGATACTTATGTGTTAACCTCTCTTAATTTATGTGCATTTAAAACCTTTTCTTGCACATGGAACAGCCAGAGATTTGATGCCATTCTTGCATGTAATTGAGAAAGGAAAGGGTCTGATAAGGTAAAGTATGAATGACTTGAGGAACAAAACTAAAGCATAAAAACTACAATTAAAATATGAGCCTTGAGTCCATAACCATACAGATTTCTTGTCTGTCTTTTTACACTAGGTTTATTATCATATTTCTCATATGTAAGTGTGTAAGAAGAGTAAAATAGACAAAGTTTTTTTAATGCATTAACTGCTCCTCAGATGAGAACTGATGATGTAATGGTGCAACAGCCAGCCAAAACGAGTCCTCTAATTGATTTGTGATGTAACACACTGAAGTCATGAAACTCTGCTAAAGGATTCCCCCCTTAGGTTGGAAAGGCTGAAAACCTGAATGAAACTATTTGTTAGGTGGAATACACTATTCTTTAGCCCAGTATTGTTGGAGATATGATTTAACATTTTAAACTCACCATATGCAAAGCACTGGTACCTGTTATGTACATATTATTATTCTCAACTTAAAGGTACTTGAGGATTTGAATAACTTGCTCAAGTTTGCACATCCATTAAATAGTAGAACCATAATTTGAACTCATTTTCTGATTAAAAATTCCATGGTCCATCTACAATACTGTAATGAGCAATGCATACTTGATTATAGTAATAAGGTTTCTGTAACTAGCAGTATTGAAACCAGATTACGTAAGGCTAAGTACCTTACCTCCCTCTTGAGTTTCCTAAGGGTTAGAATGAAAAATGTTAACTCTCTTTTGACTTTAATTCTGCTTCTATCCTGAATGGAGATGACTTTGCACTTTGGCATCTTCTAAATTCTTTTGGTGTATATGTTTGTACGAAAATACACGCAGAGATACTGAAGCTTATTTAGGTTGAGGTGACATTAGACTAGAATAATTACAAGAACTTGTTTTGAAAGGAAAAAAAATGACTTTTTTCCATTCTGCTAAAAGGAACACGTTTTCTTCATCATGATAAATACAACAGTGCTTCTTCATAATGTTTTTTAAAATCCTAAAATTAAAAGATTAGATGAGTGTTACTGACATATTTTGCTCTGAAATGGTATGCCGACATTGTGTTTTGTATTTATATCCTAAATGAGTAAGATAGACATAAAAAATGGATATTATTTACTTTAAGGATATTTGCGTATTCACTGTGGGTAGCACCTTAATTAATAACTCTTATATATCTAGATTTTGTAAAGTTAATTTTGTAGTTTTAAGAGTTACAAGTGTTTTATTACTTCCCATTCCTTTCACCTTCACATTATTGTAATATATTCTATGTATCCTTATTGAATTTTCTTTCTCTCATTTTATAGGGACCCAAGTTAAAAATAGATGTAGGTACAAAATAAAAGACTGAAGAAGTTGTAATATAAATATTTTTTTCTTAAATCATGAGTCATAGAATACTAGATGAATACTCCTCCTATGTAGGAGCCTTTATTTTTAATTTAAACTCAAGTTTTGATTTATATTTATCATCTCTCTCAAATGTCATCCAGCTGTTCTCTCAACTATTTCAGACAAAAGAGTTTTTGTTGTCCTGCTTAAGCAAATGTTAATGAACAGAAATCATTCTTCATCTTAACTTTTTTCTTCACTACTTAGCCAGGTATTGTCTATTTTCATTAGCACCTAATAAAGCGGGCATTGGAGAGGATGAGAACAGAGAGATGCTCAGGAACTGCAGGGGTTGAAAGCTTCCTAAATTTGTGAAGGAATTTTTTAAAAGGTCAGTTTATGGGGATCCCTGGGTGGCACAGCGGTTTGGCGCCTGCCTTTGGCCCAGGGCGTGATCCTGGAGACCCGGGATCGAATCCCACGTCGGGCTCCCGGTGCATGGAGCCTGCTTCTCCCTCTGCCTGTGTCTCTGCCTCTCTCTCTCTCTCTCTCTCTCTCTCTCTCTCTCTGACTATCATAAAAAAAAAAAAAGATCAGTTTATGTGACTTGATTACACTATTTAATAGCTTTGTCTTTCAATAATTTATCTACTAAAGGTATGTAACATAATTCAGTAGGAGCTTAAATATTGTAAGCACATAGCTTATTTTATATGATGTTACAGATTAAAAATAGAACCTTGGTAGGGGAGAAGGAGACCTTAGAAATAAATAAAGGAATCATTTCTTGATTTTGAGATAGATGAAATGCTTCATATAACAACGTATGATTTTATTACAGTTAGAGAAAACTGTATATTTGGATTCATATGATTAAATAAATATTAGCTAACAATAATATTAGCTAACAGATGTTAAAATTTTGTTGCTCTTCTCTCTTTACTGTACATCTTGGAAATTTAATACTATTTAATCTTAAATTTGGCAGCATTTAAACATTTTATTATGTGTCCCTTTTAAAATTACAACCATAGGACTTTGGATGACATTTTTAATTGTAAAAATAATCATATACTTAGAAATAAAAAACTCAGAAGTGTAAAAAAAAAAATCAAAAAGTAAAATTCTCCTTCCCACTTCTCACCCTCAGCCTGACTTTTCATAACAACTTCTCTGTTTTTAGTTCTCCTGAGTAGTTGCTTCTCTAAGCATTGTGCTTACACCTCTGTTTCTTAATTTCTGTCTTTTCCCTTTTAACTCAGGTTGCTGCTTTGAAAACTTTGGAATTTAACTTCTTATACTTTTTAAAATTTTGTTACTGTATTTCGTCCTCAATTATCTTAGTAACTCTAAGTATTACACTTTGAGCTCTATTGCTTCATTAATTTTGAACAATAACTTGTGGTTGCCCAGTATAATAATGGGACGTTGAGGTTCTGTACTATTTCTCTGTCGTTTACAGACCAGCTTCTCTGAACTATATGTTAGCTCTATAGTGTCTAAATTTATAATATTTAAATTCTACCCTTTAGTGTTTTTCCTGTTTTATCTCTTGAGTCTGAAAATTGAAAAATAACAACTAGCATTTATAGTCTTTGTGAAATTAGTTACCTCCTTTATCTTATCCTTTTTTTTTTAAAGACTGATTATGGATATAAGAGAACAGCTTGCTGCACAGCGATCATCATGGGGTTTCTTTTCATTGCCCTGGGTTAATCTATTTTTTCTTAAATTCTTTCATGTCCTCTTTTTTGTTGTCCATTTTCATTGTTGGCCAATATACATTTTCCAAAATTTTTACAGAAAATGCGTGGGAGATGGATTTTGAGTCCATACATGTTGAAAATGTCTTTTTTTTTTGTTCACCTTTTCCTTAAATAACTTTAAGATATATAATGCAGTAACTTTAAATATAAATTAGTGTGTATGAATTGATAGTTTTAATCACAAAGGGGTGATATTATAACAGTTTAAACATGTTATCTATATTTCTTGGCATTTTTATTAGATAGATCAACAGAGGGAAAGATTAAAACCATGTAGGAAAGGGTGGCTGTCTGGAATTTTTTTTAGTTCTGTAGTTTCCTGATGATGTGTATAATACAGAAATTTTTAGAGAATTTTTATACATTTTCATGGTTACTTAGACATTTAAAAAAACAAATTCCTCTTGTTAATTTCCACTACCTTAAGAAAAATAAACTGTTTTTTGACATGAGAAGTACCTATTTTTTTGAGAACAAAGAAATCTGTTCTAATTTATAGACAGTATGTCCTTCCATATTTCCATATATATTTTTATATTAATTCACTTAATTTATGATTCTGCAAGGAAGTTTTAGGGTTGTTTTACTATGAAATAACTTCTTTGATCCAAATTAACATGTGCAGTCCTACTAAAGACTATAATATCCTGTTTTAATATTTATAGTTTTTAACTTTGACATGACTAAACTAAAACTAGCTATTGCGTCAGAAAACATGTTTCAGTTAGAAGAAGCTGTAGTTGCTGGCTACATTTCTATAAATTTAATCTTATTATTTAAATCTTGAAGTTTTGCCTTTTGAAACAGGAGTAGCCACTGTGAAAATCTAAAAATAGTCTCAGTAACATTCAAAAACAAATTCCTTGTACTCTTTGTTAGAAAATCAGTCACTTTGGCTTGCTCATTAACACTCGAAGAGCACTAAGACCATTTAATACACTGTAATTAGGTTCCAAGCTCTAATGCTCTTAATGGAACTTTAAT